GACGCTTCTATTTCACAGCCAATGAGTGGGCTTATGAACGAAAGATCTCAAGTTGATAAGATGAAAGACGTTTTTCAAATACAGGGTGTACCACAAAAAGATTAACCCATTAGGGACGATAGGGTTGATTAGTATTACGACCCATCTTTTCTAGAGGCTATAATAGATGACAAACCAAAATATTTGATTAGACAAATTTATTGGGCTGCATTATTTAGTTCGGAATATGGCCCCTAATGATTAACTAACAATTAGTTAATTAAGTTAATTAGTCGTGATAATTGGAAAGTATTCCAATTAACTTCTGGCCTTTACAATTATTGGGCCATTAAAACTTCATGAGGGCCACGGGTGCTATGCGACAAAAGTTGCGGGCAACGATTTCCTGGAAGCTAGTGAAAAGCCCGTGATAATCAGATGTTCGCAAACAGAGCTAGACGCTGTGTCTTAACTGCGGTCGCATACGACCCACTCGTCCGGGTCGCAAACGACCCATCAAGTTTAACCACGTCATTAATAGATTAATCATCAATACCAATATCATGCGGTTCCATCATCAATTAAGTCAGCGTAACAGTTGGTGTAACTTCACTGAAAGACTGAACACTTCACGCACTCGTAGGTCTTTATAATCCCACATAAACCAAGGTGGCTAACCAATATAGGTCCCATGAGATCCGGGGTCTCACGGTGATTTGCCTTTCAGGCATTGATTGGGTTAATAAGGTGTCGTACATCACCTCAAGATCAGGTAACAGGGAGCTGACCAGGCCAGAACCCGATTGATTGGGTCTGATGTCACGTGATTATGAGCCTTAGGTCAAGTGACTATGACGTCATCAGAGCTTCACGCACTCGTAGCTTGTTCTCCGTTTTCCACTCATTGAGCTCACATGCTAGTGAATGCGGAATGTGAGTGTATGTGTACTTAAAAAGTATGATAGAATATAGAAAGCAAAATAGTTTACTGCTTGAAAATTTAATAACACACTGTGAAAGAGTGGTCAACGTAAATAAAACAACGTAAATAAAACAACGTAAATAAAATAATGTAAATAGAATAATGTAAATATAGGAGGCCGAGTTGCAGAGAATATTGTCTACGTAAGATCATATTCTATGCTTAGTCAGTTTGCGTTAGTCAGTCATGGCGACCCAAGACTTTTACTGGACCTCCAGGGATCATTATTTAAATAAAGCACTGCTATCATCTAATTCGATTGGAGAAGCAAGAAGTAGACAGACAAACTCAATCTTATCCTCGATGATTAGTTTGTGCAATGTGCAAGGGTTAAAATAACAATAATAATTATCTTGCAATAGAGTGGAAAATGAACATATATGCAACAATTTTTATTAATAAAAATGCGAATTCAATAAACGAATTATTCATTGTAATTGTTAGGCTGCAGGCTTGGCTACTCCGTACTCATAGAATAATCCATAACCTTCTAGAATATTCTGAAATATTTATTTTACTTTTAGGTAAAGTGCAGGAAAGTAGTGAGCATAATGATCGACGACACATTCCTGTCCTATATATTTTTTCGAATAGTCAACTTTCAGCTAGTCTTTAAGTATTAATCGTGCACTATAAAAAGTATTGATAACATAAAATTATAACCCAGTAACAGTTTCAGATCATGTCGGGGCAGTTCACCAAACGTGTCTGATAAAATGTTGCAAAAAATATCTTTCTCACAGTCATCAGCACCGTCAGTCGGAGCGTAGGTTACAACAAACCACTACGAAGACTTGAAATACCGATATAGAAGTCCCGATACAATCCTTGGTAGTCCTTTTCGATATTGGTAGAAATCCGTATTCGTTAATCTTAAGCAAATATTTGGATAAATTTCTTTCGTCTTCTGAACTTGAGATCTTTCCTTCATAAGCCCGATTACTAGCTGAGAACTAGTAGCGTCGTTGTTTACAATTACTGAGATTCGGCAGAGACACTGGTGCACCCAGATAAACCGCTTAGCTTATAATAACATCTTTGACATTAAAGTGCATTTTAAAGCAATTTGCCCTCGAGTATGATAATTATAACCAGTTTTATCGTGTTCGGCGTCCTCGAAAACATAGGGTTACATGATTTTCGCTTCGATATTCATCAACAAATAATCCTTCTATTTTCAAATCTCTGGCCCAGAAGGTGATACCTGATCAATATGCAGCAATAATTGCGCGCAGCTCCTATAATTGGATCGAATTACACGCGGAACAGTATACACTATATTATTTTATATAATGCCTGATCGAGTAGCTCGAGTTCGGAGAGCAAGCTCTGGTGACGTCACAGCCACGTGACCTCAGGTTCATAATCACGTGACCTTATACCCAATCAATTGGGTTCTGGCCGGGTCAGCTCCCTGTCACCCGATCTTGAGGTGACGTACGACACCTCGTTGACCCAATCAATGTCTGAAAGGCTGTACATTTTTTACATGCCAAATTCACAAGATTCTTAAAGAGTTGTGCGAGATGACGATACATAGAGGCCGCAGAATTATGGGGACTACCAGATCCTGGTGGAACCTAAGCGATCCATGATATCACGACAGGCCCTACGTTTAATTGTACCCGTTATATTAGATATTGCTAAGCTGCTAGTCAGGATGCTATAAGGAGGAGTGAGGACCTTATTCTCTTGACCAAGATATTATAGATGCAAGGATGTTTTCATGAAGGTTTAATAGTATTTAGATTTTTAAAACGCTAATTGGTTAGTTAAGTGAAATGCACTTTTAACTCTAAAAATGTAACATATTATTCACCGCTCATACTTTATTAAATCAGAAGTGATATGAAGCTCCGCTAAATTACTGGGATCGATTACAATCCAATCAGTGGTCTACATTCAGCGTATCAGTCAAATAGGTACCGACTAAATATAAAGACTGGACCAGAAGAAAATTATTGTTTATATTTCATATTCACCAGAATTTTGTGCTTCGGTTTGAATTCATTTACAAATTTAATGAATTAACGTTTTACTGTTTCGTGCTAAGTTTTATCTGCAGCACTGATAACCCGTCAAAGCTTGATTTACACTTTTACTGCTAGCACTTTAGTGAACATGTTATCCCTCCCATTTTTTATAAATATGATAACAAATGAACATTTTCCGATAATTTTGGATACAACTTTGATAGCCCGATAACCGATCTCTATTTAACAGCTGTTCATCTTCACCGGAATAACCATGACAGCTGTTCTCTGCTGTGACGAGAAACTCAAGAACATCCTAGTTGTCACCTTTGCTATGGGCCTAGTATACTCAGCAGTATTTCCAGCGGTAGCGGTCCAGAACATAACACTAGCAGAAAGTAGCGACATCCCTCTCACTGTGGGATACTACGCTGCTATTGTCAATACTGTAGGCTCCATGCTGAACGCCCTGGTTTTCCAATTCGTCTACAACCGTCTAGGTATACGATGGACAGCAGGCCTCTCAATGGTACTAATAACTGGAGCTCACTGGCCTATGATTTGGATTACAAACCAGTATGTTATCTACGCTGGAGAGTTCCTCAGTGGAATTGGTAGAGGTGCGGGCTGGATCTTCGCTCCTATGATCGTGATGGACAATTCTGAGGTGGGAAAATCTCATCGTAACATGGGGTACTTTTGGTCAGGTTTATCAGCTGGGGTTATGGCAGGAGGGCTCGGCAACTACTTCTACTTTGTTGGAGTGACTTCAATATCTACCACTAACAGACAGATAGTCTATGCTCTCTGTGCTGGTGTCACTGTCCTTGCTAGTCTTCTGGCAGGGTTTGGGCTATCCGAGATTAAGGGTAGAGAGGGTCACAAAACTACAGCTGATGTGACCTACGTGAAAGTTGATGAAAATAATGAGGATGATGATGAGGTTACGATGCCTAGAGACGATGGTGGCAAAAAGGAAGAAATCGACGGGGATGGGCTGAACAGTTCCTTCAGTGACTTCGTTGTATGGTTCAAGATGATGGCAAGGCGCCCTGCATTTTGGTTACATTTCATTCCATTGATCTACACTGGGTTCATCTGGGCCTACTTTTACAAGATGTTTCCCACAGCGATACCTTCAATATCCAACCAACGGAAGCTGATTCCGCTTACAACAGTAGTGATGGGTGGGTCTTATCTTCTCGGAACTTCAACTTCGAACATAGTTTCGAGATGGATAACCCCTACAGCGTGTATTATTCTCTCCGCACTTATGATTCTTGTGGCTATGATACTCTCAGTCTTGATATTCCCCAAGGAAGCAGCCTCCCAGATTCTAGAAATTGGAGCAGCTGAGACCTTTATTAAAGGAGGATTTGTTCATTTGATGGTCATCTCATCTCTTATCGGCTTGGGAGATGGAATGTTTAGCGTCATCCACTTTACTGCCATAGGACGACTGTACGGCAAAGAGACTTCTCTGGGCTACTCTGTCAACATCATTATGTACTACTTGGTATACGGACTTTGTATGTTTACTCCCACTCTATTTGATATGCACTCTTACTGTTACATCACCATGGTGACGGTAGTGGCGTCTTGTCTTGCTCTCACTGTTGGACTCAAACAGTTTCTTTAGTTTAGATGGATTATAGACACGTTCTAACAAAGCTAACTAAATGTATTGACCAACTAAATGTTCCGTGCATTGCCAATACATGTAACATTTAGTTGGTCGATACAATTAGTATGCTGTGTTCGAACGTCTATACTCGCTAATTTGAAATATTTGACCACTTAGCACTTAGCACTTAGGGAACACACAAATTTGTAGATTTTAGTCTCTGGTAATGTATATATTATATGGCACACCGATTTTAACAAACTAATTCATTCTGCACTGAATTTGATTGAAACTGATTTTAGTTTAAGCTATTTTTACTGAAGAAGACATGTAAAATTGTGTTGAAGTCATTTCTTGTCAGATGTACTCACTTTTCAGCTTTCTAAACCAAAATGTATCAAGCCTGAGCTTTAGTGCACTTAGGCAGGCAAATAATAACTCTTCAGATACAATTGATATTACTACAGACTACTTTACCATTACGGCACATATAACCCGGCACGTAATCCAGCACGTAACCCGGCACGTAACCCGGCACGTAACCCGGCACATAATCCGGCACGTAACCCGGCACGTAACCCGGCACGTAACCCGGCACGTAACCCGGCACGTAACATGTCACATAACCCGGCACGTAACATGTCACGTAACATGTCACATAACCCGGCACGTAACCCGGCACATAACCCGGCACGTAACCCGGCACGTAACCCGGCACGTAACCCGGCACGTAACCCGGCACGTAACATGTCACATAACCCGGCACGTAACCCGGCACATAATCCGGCATATAACCCGTCACGTAACTCGGCACGTGATAATCGATCAGGTTATGCGTTACGTGCCATTTAGCTAAAATTAGAAAGACGATCGCATTGTACACACTCAACATGTGCTGTCTAGCTGGAACAATGACTCCATAGTTCATCTCGTATGAATAATAAGAGTTATCCAAAGAGCCAGGAAGACTCCCTTTCCTAATCAGGATATCGAAAATAATTCAATTTTCTGCTTTAGTCGTGCATGAGTGTAATTGAATTTCGATTGATGATTCTTACAAGAGAATATCCGTTTTTTATCTGACAGAATCAGAGATTGCAAATTGAATTTTCGTGTCGCTTACTTTGATTTGTATATTTTATACCTGTGCACAGACTATACTTATTGCATTATTATATCTCATATTCACTTGTTAGTTGGGTTTACCGGGCCTTTCGTCATCATTCTTACGAATCATTATTTACCTTTTATAGGTATTTTGTTACCAATCAGTATTTACCGTACACTTTCCGATTAGACTATATCATATCATCTTCATTTTGTGCTTTATATTACTATACTATGTAGCATACAGTTTATTGAATTGGCTAAACTAATTTTTTCATCAAGATATAATTACTTGTCTGCAATCAGCCCAAAACCAGTATCCAATATCTATCTAATAGCTAGGAACCGACCGGAATGGGCTTTTGGCTGCCGGACCGGATTTTGCCGGATATCAATCCATTATCCGGTTAGCCGGATTTTGCCAGACTGGAAAAAGTACTTCAAAAGTAACAAAGAAGTAACAGTAGACAAGTTATTATCAGAAATAATATGCAATTGGCATAGAAACCACTTTTATCCACGTTTCATGCTACCCTGTTCATTATTAGCAGAAAATATTTGTTCAGTTTTCCAAAGTCCGCATCTACCCCTCGATACACAATTTTGAACTTGGGGCATCCCCTTGTAATGTGATCTCAGAAAGCAGGCCTCCCCTTTGCAACACGAGCTCGGAAGCGGGAGCTCTGCCCTCAGAGGTATACGTATCGACTTAGAGAATGACTCGGACCAAAAATGTTATGAGTCAACATTTTCGGCATGATGGAAAACTAATTCGAAAAAACCGTTAAGCTTTCCCGAATTAGTTTTCCCTAATGCCAAAAATTGGATCAGCTAATCCTCATCCTGGACATATATATAATTACATTAACATAAACTTAAAATAAAATATTTACAGCAAATACTTGTGGCTATAACCACTTGGTCCCATGAGATCCGGGGTCTCATGGTGATATGCCTTCCAGACATTGATTGGGTTAACAAGGTGTCGTACGTCACCTCAAGATCAGGTAACAGGGAGCTGACCAGGCCAGAACCCAATTTATTGGGTCTGATGTCACGTGATTATGAGCCTTAGGTCACGTCACTATGACGTCATCAGAGCTTGTTCTCCGTTTTCCTCTCATTGGACCAGCTGTGAGCTCGCATGCTTGTGGTTGTACTGCTAAATTTAGAATTTGGCCGCCAAATTTTTTTAAAGGCCTAACTCAAAATTCTGTCCCAAAACTTAAGGTCATGAGACAATTCTACGTTGATTCTGAAAATTTCATGAAAAAATATTGAAACCCTATTGAGTTCTATTGTTTTGAGCGAAGTCAGTTTTGCAAATATCGCGAACTGAGATATAGGCAATTTTGCTCATTTTTTGCGATTATTTGAACACAGAATCCACAGTTAGGTAGATATTGAGCTGATAATCATAGAGAATGTGTAGTATAGGCTTACCTTCCATATTAAGTTAGTTTCATTCAAAAATATTGATATTTGACTAATTTATGGGCCAAAATCGATCACATTTGGTGCGTATGCCCAAATATGGGCATATGGTTTTTATCCCATAACTTGGCCAATTTTTATCCAATTTTGATAAAACTTAATATGTGTGTTCAGGAGACTAGTAGCTACAAGAAGAGCACCCCAAAGCATGGTTTTGGGCATGTTCAGAGTATTTGGCTAAATTTGGCCTAATTTGGACCAAATATGGGCGTGGCTGCCCCGCGGGCACTGTTTGGCTGTTGGGGTCCGGGACCCCCTCAAAAGTTCGGTCACCGGTCTTAGTTTGTTGTTTAACTGCTATCTCGAAACCAAGTTTCACAATAAAATCAGGGTGAACCCCCCCTTAATGTGAGAATGTGGTTAATTTAAACAGACGGCTCGACCTAGCGCGCGACATCAAGCAGGCGCATGATTTGCACGCGTGGCGCATTCCAATGTTCAAGCAGCTACCACGTGACACAATTCAGCCAATCAGAGTACAGGAATCCGCAAAGTTAAAGTTGCAAACTTTTAATCGGCCCGAAATGAGACTTTTCTGGAGATTTTGAGATAACTCAACAACTACGTTGTTTTGAATTTTCCTCTTGGGGAGGTTACGTTACTTTTAAAACTAAAAGAGGAACATGTTACAAGCCAATTTGACAAGAAGTGGTGCTCACGGTCTCACTTAACATCACTTATCACTCAGTTAAGAGCAACCATGTCTTGCGACCAGACATGACAGCCTGCAGGCATCAGGGACAAAAGGAAATCGCGGCATGTACGGAATCGCGATTTTTCCCATTATTTGCGACAAATTTTATGTCTAGTTTAATGTATAGCCTGTTAAATTTCGCGTTATCCCATTTTTTGGCCAAAATAATCCCGAAATCCTTTGTCCCTGGCAGGCATATGATCCAAATACAAAATATCCTTGTGTTCGGCATTTAGTAGCCCTAATTGGTTACTTCGTACCCAACGAAGAGATAACTCAACAACTAAATTGTCTTGAATTTTCCTCCTGGGGAGGTAACGTTACTTTTAGTTAAAAGAGGAACATGTTACAAAAAACCGCGGAAGTCTCCAACTCTTTTACTTTCAAAGTTAAGCCCCATCCAGTAAGGGTTTCTGGGCGTAAGATAATTTTTCCAAGCTGGATTATTTCAATAAAGCACCGCTATATCATCTAATTCGATTGGAGAAACAATAGACAATCAAACTCGGTCTTATCCTCGATGATTACTTCGTGCAAGGGTAAAAATAATAATAATAATTAACTTGCAATAGGGTGGAAAATGAACATATATGCAACAATAAAAATGAAAATTCAATAAATCTTGCAATTTTTATCTAAAAATAAAGTTCCGAAGAATTATTCATTATAATTGTTAGGCTGCAGACTTGGCTACTCCGTATTCATAAAATAATCCATAACCTTCTAGAATATTCTGAAATATTTATTTAACTTTTATGTTAGGAACGGTCATAAAAATGAGTTTATAACAAGGTCGATTATATTTTGGTAATTTCCCTCGGAAGGCAGGCCTCCCTTTTCAAAACAGGCTCGGAAGCGGGAACTCTGCCCTCAGAGGTAAGTATGTAATCATTTTTTAAGGATTCGGGTCAACATCTGACGAAAACTATGCATTTCAAGATTTTAGAAGTACATTTTTTAAAAGAAATATCCGGCAAAAATTTCGGAAACCGGACCGGACCGGAACCGGAACCAGATATTGAAGCCGGATATCCGGCCGGAACCGGATTCAGCCGGATATCCAGTCTGTTCCTAATCCTGGCACTGCAAAGTCATCATGGTGTCGACACTTCTCAATTACCTCTCACTTACCTCTCACTTACCTCTCAATACCTTTCAATTACCTCTCAATAACCTCTCAATTACCTCTCAATTACCTCTCAATTACTTCTCAATTACCTCTCACTTACCTCTCAATTACGGGAGGGATATCATTTACGAAACTGTCTGCGAGACACATTACTGTACATTATACCTTAACAAATAACCTAAAGCTTGTATAGTTCAAATGCAAACTTATCATTATCAACATTTTGTCAAACAGTGGAGATATGATGTTCAAAATGAAAATAAAGCTTCAGTTCCGCAACTGCTGTGACTGCTATGTAGTCCCAGAAACACTTCCTCATAAATTTATTGATTGCCCTTTAACAAGATTTTTGTTACGACAGTTATCCGCTTTAGAAGTAATTTTTGTCTGCACTCTGCATACTTGAATTATGCTCCTATGCTATGTTACCTTGTTAATTCATCATTATATAGTTTAACACTATCATTTATTGAATTTAATTTCTAAAAATGCAGAAACATTAAGTCATGACAAAATTGATATCGGTAAAATTCGAACTTCGAAGATAACAAGAAATGCGGCCGCTTTTTTTTGTGCATGGCCGCTCAATTTCCCGATCCGTGATGGCGTATTTTATCATTTTCTATACAAACTGGGGACCCCAGTTTTTACTGTTTATAAGTATGCAGATATGGCGAAGTGACAGGCCGAGCGCCACCAAGTTAATCTAATTCCATATTGAATTTGAAAATCGTGTATATTTTTAAAAACCATATGCTTATTGTTTATGCAACCTGACACCCGACACGGATGTGTGCAAAATAGTATAAGTAACTCAAAATAATAATAGTATGCTATCAATTAGTGCCTAGTGGGATATGTACATGGTGAAATTAACAATGTACTGTACTTGGTCAGTTCAGCGCCGCGCGCCAACAATTAGCTAATTCGGATTATTCCGCAAAATAACTTTGCGCAGGTAGTCACGTGGGCGATTACAGTGTGTGCAGGCAGGTACGGTCGCGCGCACGCTCGCAGGTACGGTCGCAAAGCTACCATATACAAAAAAAACCTCGTTCGCTAACCCTTGTCCTTGACTCTTTTGTGCCTTCGGCACGTTGAGTCATGGATCGGGAAAAAATAGAAAACTTTGATAGCATTATCGTGTGCTTTATTGCTTAATGCTTTGTTATAGAATCAATTGCAATATTGGCATTGCCCTTTAACAAGCCCATATTTCATCGACAAATGTTCTCTAAGGCCTATTGCTTCTCTGCAGAGAATTAGAATTACGTATCTAGGTTTACTTCGTGATCATTCTGTATTCTTGATATACATTTGCATTCTGCATCTAGAATACCGGGGTCCGAGTTAAAAAACGTTTACCAGCGATACGAATTATTAAATTATTATACCTTTACAAATAACCTAAAACTTGTATAGTTCCAATGCAAAACAGCTGATATATGATGTTCAAAATGAAAATAAAGCTTCAGTTCCGCAACTGCTGTGTCTGCTATCATGTAGTCCCAGAAACACTTCCTCATAAATTTATTGATTGCCCTTTAACAATATTTTTGTTACGACAGGTATCCGCTTTATAACGGAGAATATAAACGCAAACTGTATAGACGGTTTGATAAACTTAAAGTGCAAACGCAATCGTCAGTATTCTAAACTTTTGCAACTACTCATTCCATAAATGTTTCTACCTATATCATGTATATGATGTAATAAATTTGATGTTATATGTTTCGGTATAATATATTAGGAGGCAGTAAAAATAGCGGGCTACGATGACTGGGAACCTGTCACCCCATGGCAAAATTAAAGAACATGCCGTTTTATTTGTATATATAATATGTACATGTATATTTTATGAAGGAGTTTCTACGGGAAGAGTTTAGTATTTTTAAAGATGTAAGTTCTAACAGTTTGGACAATGGATGCAAATACACGGATTTACTACGACTCTCTTGGCTTACATTAACTAGGATAATTCAAAAATTTGCACTTAACAGTTCAAGCCGGCCACTATATATATATTAATATATACTGGTGCAATTTTAACGTCGCACAAAAACATCAGCAAACAAGCCTCCACCCTGCAGGTCTATACTGTACTTAACACCAGTTTTGTGCAGGTCGCGAGGTATTTTAACTATGCTCACCGCATCGATTGAACAAGTTTACGATCACACGCTTATTTAATGTTTGCTGTGTTTAGTTTTGCTGTGTTTTTTGCATGTATTTTTTCACAAGTGCGTGTTTTTTAAGAGTGCACTCATGTTTCCATTAAGCATTTACATTTGATTAACAATTGACAACACTTTTGCTAGTGCGTATATATATGTCAAAACCTTTCTTACCGACGTGGCTGGGATCGTGGCAGGTCTATATTGTACTTAACACCAGTGTTGTGCAGGTCGCGAGGTATTTTAACCTTAGTTGTAGTGAACGCACGGAACGTTCACTAAAAATGTTCTGTACATACGTTCACTAAAACTCATCTCTCGTTCTGAACGTTATGGATAAATTACTAGTAGTGTTCAGTAGGATTCATGTACTCTAGTACGACACGCACTATAGTTCGACAAATTAAATTCGCCAGATATCACCCCTGTCGTACTTCGGTACGTGTCGAAGATGGCGAACTAGAGTCCAGGTAGCGTACTTTAGTTCGATAAATAGTTTGTGCTTGTGATCCAATGGCTATTGTCGGGTCAGCATCATAGGATCACAGGGTCGAATGGCAGATAAAACAATTTTCTGACATCTAGCAACCATGAGCGGTTAGAAATTCCAGAACCTTTCAGTATAGTTTTAATTCTCCTGTTTGCCACTCAGTTCTGGTCTTGCTAACAGGAAATTAGATTGATATCCGACTGTTTTCGATTCAGTAGCCAAATCTCTAGACCGGTACTCGGTTACTAGTCTTTTGTGATAATATAAAGTGTGCGTATGTGGTAGATATTTATAAAGCGTAAGCTCTACAATCTAGATCTATAAAACCGAGTACGAGTTGATAGTGATACGTTAGTCTTTAATTATCTCTCCGCTAAGTCTACAATTCTGCTACCTAACAATTGAATTACGAGAATGAGGACAATTAAATATTCATAGATGTTCATTAATAATTATCAGTTGGGGAAATTGAGATTTCAAAAAGTTTATTTTCATGCATTTTTGTTTTTGATAATCGCTGACGTTCACCAACGTTCAATAAGTATAACGTTTACTAAAAAATGACTGGAACGTGCGTTTAATACGTCAAAATCCACTGTTCACTACAACTAAGATTTTAACCATGCTCACCGCATCGATTAAACAAGTTTACCATCACACGCTTTTTTAATGTTTGCTGTGTTTAGTTTTGCATGTCATTTTTCACAAGTGTGTGTTTTTCAAGAGTGCACTGTTTCCATTAAGCATTTACATTTCATGATTAACAATTGACAACACTTTTGCTAGGGCGTATGCCAAAACCTTTCTTACCGACGTGGCTGGGATTGTTTTATATAATTGTAAGATTGATAAAGTTTATCCTTAATATTTTCGCAGAGACAGCTCAAATTTTCGCAATGAGTTCGCAATAATACAATCTTAGATGTACTGATTACCAACCTTCACCACTGACCACATTCTCACATTAAGAAGGGGTTCACCCTGATGTTTTTGTGAAACTTGGTTTCGAGATAGCAGTTGACCAACAAACTAGGACCAGTGACCAAACTTTTGAGGGGGTCCCGGACCCCACCCGCCAAACAGTGCCTGCGGGGCAGCCACGCCCATATTTAGTCCAAATTAGGCCCAATTTAGCCAAGTCCCTGAACATGCCCAAAATCAAGATTTTAGGTGCTTTACTAGTAGCTAGTGGTCCCCTGAACTCGTATATGAATTTTCATCAAGATTGGACAAAACATGACTGAGTTATGAGCCAAAAACCATATGACTATGTTTTTAAGTTAGGCCTTTAAAAAATTTGGCGGCCAAATTCTAAATTTAGCATTGCAAATTTTGGAATTTTTTTTAAAGGCCTAACTTAAAAGGCCTAACTCAAAATTCTGTCCCAAAACTTAAGGTCATGAGACAATTCTACGTTGATTCTGATTTCATGAAAAAATATTGAAACCCTATTGAGTTCTATTGTTTTGAGCAAAGTCAGTTTTGCAAATATCACGAACTGAGATATGGGCAATTTTGTTCATTTTTTGCGATTATTTGAACACAGAATCCACACTTAGGTAGATATTGAGCTGACAATCATAGATAATATGTAGTATAGGCTTACCTTCCATATAAAGTTGGTTTCATTCAAAAATATTGATATTTGACCAATTTATGGGCCAAATTTGGATCAAATTAGGTGCGTATGCCCAAACATGGTCATATGGTTTTTAGCTCATAACTCAGTCATTTTTCGTCCAATCTTGATGAAATTTCATGTACGAGAATCTTGATTTTGGGCATGTTCAGGGTATTTGCCTAAATTGGACCTAATTTTGACCAAATATGGGCGTGGCTGCCCCGCGGGTACCTTTTGGCGGTTGGGGTCCGGGACCCCCTCAAAAGTTTGGTCACTGGTCCTAGTTTGTTGGTCAACTGCTATCTCGAAACCAATTTTCACAACAAAATCAGGGTGAACCCCCCCCCCCCCCCCCCCCCCCCCTTAACAATCTTATCATACACCCATCAGAACAATCATGACATTCCTGGGATGCTGCTGCAACGAGAAGCTCAAGAACGTTTTAATAACCGGCATTGCTATGGGTATCTCATTCTCTGCAGTATTTCCAGCAGGGGCAGTTCAGAATATAGCACTGGAAGAAACTAGCGACATCCCCCTCACTGTAGGCTACTACTCCGCTATCATTCAGAATATAGGCTCCATGGTTACTGCTCTGGTATTTCAGTTTTTGTATAATCGTCTCGGACTCCGGCTAACAGCAGGCCTCTCAATAGTACTGACAACTGGTTCGTACTGGCCTATGATTTGGATTACAAACCAGTATGTTATCTACGCTGGAGAGTTCCTCAGTGGAATTGGGAGAGGTGCGGGCTGGATCTTCGCTCCTATGATTGTGATGGATAATTCCGAGGTGGGTAAATCTCATCGGAATATGGGCTACCTCTGGACCACTGCATCCGCGGGTATGGTGTTAGGAGGACTAGTTAACTATTTCTACTTTGTTGAAGTGAGTTCAATATCTACCACTAACAGACAGATAGTCTATGCTCTGTGTGCTGGTGTCACTGTCCTTGCTAGTCTTCTGGCTGGGTTTGGAATATCCGAGATTAAAGGTAGGGAATCTCACAAAACTACTGCAGACGTGACTTATGTGAAAATTGATGAAAGTAATGGGGAGGATGATTCTGTTATGAAAGTAGACGAAAGTAGTATAGGGGATGATGTCGTTATAATGCCAAAAGAAGATGGCGACAAAAAGGAAGGAATGGATGGGGACGAGCTAAACAATTCATTTAGTGACTTTATTGTATGGTTCAAGATGATGGCAAGGCGCCCTGTTTTTTGGTTACATTTTGTTCCCTTAATATACACTGGGTTTATCTGTGCCTACTTTTACAAAATGTTTCCCACAGCGATACCTTCAATATCCAACCAACGGAAGCTGATTCCGCTTACAACAGTAGTGATTGGCGGATCCAATCTTGTCGGAAGTGCAACTTCCAACATAATTTCCAGATGGATAACCCCTACCGCTTGTATCGTTCTCTCTGGTCTACTTATCCTGGTGGCCATGATACTCTCCATCTTGATATTCCCCAAAGAAGCTTTCTCCCAGATCCTAGAAATTGGAGCGGCTGAGACCTTTATCAAAGGAGGAATTGTTCATTTGATGGTCATCTCAGCTCTTATCGGATTGGGAGATTCAATGTTCGCCGTGATCTATGACACAGCAATAGGACGACTCTTCGACAAGAAGACTTCTTTCGGGTACTCCATTAATACCCTTGTGTATCACTTGATGTATGGAATTGGTATGTTTTCTCCTACTCTATTTGATATTCACTCTTACTGTTACATCACCATGGTGACGGTGGTAGCTTCTTGTCTTGCCCTCGCTGTTGGACTCAAACAGTACGTTAGGGAGTGATCAGAATTAGGGAGTGAGAATTAGAGGGAAAAGCAGCTATAGAACCGTTGTTAATATTGATAGATATGATAGATATGATTTTTGTGTATTGAAAATATGTTTAAATTTTTTTTAAAGAAAGGTCTCTCGTGAAATTGACTATACCGCGAGGTGTTTGGCTCAATGTTGAGTGAGCGGTTGTAGTGTTGTAGTGAATATGAACGCTCACAGATGATTTTGCAAATTTATACTTTATAGTAGGGGTTGATAGGTAACTGTAAGGAGTTTGTAGGAGACAAAATTTCTATAAGATTGGTCGTCTGGAAGAATTACAGTTCAGAAACCGAGTAAGGAGGTGCGACTACTGAGAACTGAGAAGTCTCCTTAAAGTTTATTTGGGTTAGAAACGACATCTGGGTCCCTACCCTCGCACAAGATTATTCTCAATTTTTTTGTTGTGTTCCCCATGTTAGTGACAGTTATAAGTGAGATTTTTTGCTAATTTCCAACTCTGTTTGGTATTAACTGTCTTACTGTGGTCAGTGGTCACGCTTCGCGTCTTGTTTACACAAAGACAGAACTCTCGTGCATTTAGAACTGTCTATTTCTAACAGATAGGCCCGCTTCCAGGGATCTATCTGAAATATAAAGTATGTTTGCTGCCGTGCCTGTGTATGATTTAGATAAATTGTGGACTCTGACAATAAATACTCTATTTGCTACTGTACAATTAATAAACTAATTCATTATGGTTCTATCATTCTAGTTAAACATGTTTTAGTTGTCAAAGACACGTGAAATTGTGTTAAAGTCATCTCTTGTCAGATTTAACCTGTTCCCGTTGCTAAAGCGTGAACTAAGTTATCAACATTTACTTCTTAATAACATATTATATGATGTAAATTATCTTTAAAATATTTCTTTTGGCTGAGCAAATTGGCGCAAATGCATTGCTACACAGTACACGCCGTAGGAGGCCGAAAAGAGGTACCTTATCGGACCTTATTTGGACGGACATTAAATGAACGGACATAATTATGAACGGACATTAATATGAACGCTAGAAGGCACTCAAAACCATCAAAAATCCGAATTTGTTTCATTTTTTAAACGTTTTTTGTATTTCAGAAAATAATTTTTAAATCCATTTTTTATACAGTAAGTAAGAAAAGCAGTCGTTAAGCAGTAAAAATGTTAAAAGATGTGTACATGATCAGTGTTTAATATCGCATATCATCTTCATCAAATGGGTTTTCGTGCATGAAATAGTTCAACGTTAAAAAATTAACCTTTAAAATTAACCAACGTTGGCCAACAAAACGTTGGCCAACAAAACGTTTAAGAACTTTTCATTCACAATCTAAAATTAAATACGACGTTAAAACGCTGTTCAATTTTAAACGTTGCTCATATCAATTGCTTCATCTTTTTGGGCGTTCGTGTAATGTTTTTTATCCCAGTTTCAACGTCTTTTCAGTTTCAATGAGTCAGCTAGAAACTTGATCTCTATTAATTCCAGACTTTCATAATGATCATTAGGCTCACAACAGCTGGAATAAAATAAGTTAACCTCCTTTCTGGCTCACTTGTGGACTGCTTCAGAAGGCTATACTATATATAACTGTCTAATTGAATAATTGGAAGAGAACTCCATCAGGCCTAGCTGAACCAAGCGGGGAGTTGATACACCTTTCACAAGCAAGAGCCACTTTGGTCTACTTGCTGTGAGGTGTCTCAGCTACGCCTACATGGGTTGGGGGTCCCCCCTTTTCTTTTTTTGGCTTTGCTGTTTGGTCTGCACTGATCACCATTATTTAGGACTCGACATGATTTAGTGTTTTACAGTGTGGGAGCTTGGGAGTAACTCTTAGAGGGAATATCTTCGATCATATTTGCAAGGGTTTTGCTTGACCGTCCTTTTTCCAGTTCCCGCTCTGATAGTCATTAGCAATTCATCAAGAGCGCTTTTTCCATGGGATTTATTTTCGTTGAATTACATATTGCGTAGTCTGAACTCTGATATCATTGTGGTAATTTAATTTCCAGAAGCTGCAAGATTTTGCAGTTTTCAATTCCCGGGTGCAGATAATTATATAGACTTAAAATAGAATTAAAGTCGATGATCCAAACGCAAAGTGCCCCTTGAAAACTTCATATATTAGTAGAGTTTTTTGTGCCTCCGGCAGACCAAGGAAAACCTTTCCGTCGTTAACTTACGGCACAATAAAGTTCTCATAGTTGTCATATTCTATGACAACTATGAGAACTTCAACGCGACGTGTGCTGTGTGCTTTTTAGAGAAAGATTAGCAGCGCTGTGATTACACTATCTGTTATTTAAAACTTATCTTGTCAGGTTATAAAGGATACGTACACATCAACTGGAATCTATTTTGTATTCAAACTGTTATATTTTGTATTCAAATTTTGTGGAGGTCAACACTCCCTTCAGCTCTATTAACCGAAAATTATCAAAAATTATCACAAATCTAGATATCAGCTGTCTGTTTTTTATTATAGATTTTCTTATTTTGGGAATGCTATTTAACAAAATTAATATGCTGTTTAAAATGGACTCAGCTCCTTCGTACTGTTAAAAAAATAAATTATCTATCACTTCTTCGTCAATTCATCATTTATTGCCCGAAGTTCTTTTATCATTTGTCCCTGGGTAAAACTGTCGGACCAGGCCACTAAATCTAACAAAATTTACAACCGAAGAGCTATAAATTAGGCAGCTTGATTTGCAAATCTCTTAGTTGACATTTTCCGACGTGTTCTTTATAATTCAATGATATCTTGAATATATTTTAATCGTTTAGCATCAGCTTTTTCTTTTCTTATTTTTTATCGTTAGGTTACTATTAGTACTACAATCCCTCGCGTTTCCGTTTATAAGTATAATGGGGGGGGGGGGGGGGGTTTGGTTATTAAGTTGAGTATTATGTTTTGTAATGTTAAGTGTTACATTTCATGTAATTTTTTATGGTATTGAATATGATACTTTTTAACAAATTGATATTCTCGCAGGTAGCTGCCACGTACTGGGATGGTCGCTTCAGAAACCTCACATCGATAGAGCTGGGAAATATACAACTGCATAAGATGCAAAAGCACCTTACTGCTCCAGGATGCGCAAACGGAGTGCACTTTGTGCAGCATGTTGGAGGACGCCGATATTCCGGAATACCTCTCCGGGAAGGTGGAAATATGATCAATTTCCCATAAAAAGATGAGATGTTCGAAGGGGGTCTCATTCACAGCCAAGTCTGAGGAAAACCTGAGCAGGCCCCACTCTTTGATGTGGTCATGCCCCTAGAAGAGGGCTTCTCAAGGATGATTTCTGGGTGGATCGAGGACAATTGTATTGAAGTGAAGTTCATTGCTGAGTGAATTTTAATTTAATTTTTAATTTTTTGTTAATTTTTGTTAATTTTTATTTACATCAAATTAAAACATTTTCATTTGTCTAACTTCTCCTTACAAAATAGTGCACGTGACTCAACGTGACTCACCTGACTCAAATGAGAAACATAGCATAATTAATGGATAACCTGATTACTGTGTTAGGGACATTGTGTTGTGTACTTATCACGCCACACAGGTTCGTGTGAGATATCTCGTCTTTGTCATCATAGCTACCCCCCCCCCCCCCCCCCCAAACCTCTATTTGCCGGTCAAGTTTTATATTATCTTTATAATCTGGGTATAATTTCTAAAATAGTTAATGGTCAGTAATATTCATATAGTGATATAAGTAATCAAATATAGTAATATTCAAATAGTTGATATTTTGTTTGTTCGTAAATTAGTATTTTTCACCCACACCTCAAATTAATTAGTTTAATAGTCACTACGGCAGCACCTATAAAATCATATAAGTTCCATTTCCCAGTATTTAGTTTCATAAGTTGTCATCAAGCACAGTAGAAAGCCTGCCACTTAACCAATAAGCCTCACTTACCTAATTAGCCATCCAATCAGGCCTATCTTATGTATCACATGACACATCCAAGGTCTCGACAAGGTCTTGAACCTTCAATCCTTGTTATTCAGGGCTTTAGAGAGACGCCATAGAAAAAGAGATCTCCAGCTCGGCAACAAAAAAGCTAGAAACGCAAAAACATAACCTGAAGGTTTTTTATGGGCCAATTCTCAACCTCACCAGAGAAATGGCCCAGTCAGAGAACTGGAGACCTCTGCCAGAAGTTGTGAAAGAACTTAAATTGAAGCAATTGTTTGAAGTACTGGAAAGGTTGTTAAGATTAAATGATAATTTTTTGTACCTAAGAATTTAATAGGTCAACAGATATATATTTTGTTCATTGTAAATTTTATAATTATAAAATATGTAAATTGTTAAAATAAATTCTGTTTTATATTTGAACGATGACACAAAAATATTCAGCTCTATTTGAGTGAATTGTGGCGTGCACACGCAAACAGCTATGATAAAAGTAGAAAACAGAAGAAATGGAGGAATCCGAAGAACGAAGGAATATCTTAAACAAAAATTAAGATTGTCAACAAGCCTCGGTCAAGTGGTTTTTAGCGTAATCGTGAGTAAAATATTTATTCAAAAGTTGAAGACTTAGTGGGAGTGATAACTTTTTTATGGTGCTCAATTCCCATGTAGTATGAAAATTCATAGTTAAGTTGTAGATAACTTAGTTAACGATGCCTCAATGTTAGCATACAGTGCTTGCTTTAAAGAAATTATAGCAACGCTATATTGTAGTGAATGAAGCGTGAATTTCAATCAAATTATGTGTTACAATTTGTCTCCAACTAATAATCACTAATAAGTATTAAATATTTATTGTTTTTGGAGTAAAGTTTACTCTAAGCTATCATGTAAAGATGGCGTTGAAATTATATGCGAAAACGCGTGTGCTCCAGATAAGCAGGATAAATGCTAGAATAAGATTGGAACTGAGTGACGACAAGTCACTCAGCTCCAATCTTATTCACTCCGGAAAAATGTCGGTATTCTCCTAAAACAAGATAATTGGTACAGTAAGG